TGATGGATGGGTCATAGTCAACCTGGGGAGAAGTGGACAGCAGAGTCCCCCAGGACTCGGTCCTTGGGCCCACGTTTTTCAATCTCTTTATCAGCGAATTGGACGACGGGGTGAAAAGCACCCTGTTTAAATTCACTGATGATACCAAAATTTGGGGTGAGGTGAGCACGCTAGTAGGGAGGGAAAGACTGCAGCAAGACTTGGATAGGTTACAGGGGTGGGCTAGCAAAAACAGGATGCGCTTCAACGCTGACAAGTGCAGGGTGTAAACCATGCACCCAATTCCAGCTGTCTAAAAATGCTGGACTGGTACAGACTGTACAAACAGTATATATATGGGGGGGAAAAGGAAAGGGGAAGAATGATAAACGGAGAAAAATGAGTAAGAGTCCATAAGACCATTTCTTCTGGCTGATTATGCTGGAATGAATTCAGACAAACTGCTTTCAAACAGTTCCCGTTTTCTGCCATCAAGCTTCACATTCCTACTCCTTTCCCCCTCTCCAGGCTTGAAGCACCTCATAGGGTTTTCCATAGAAAGGCTGATGCTCACAGCTCCTTTGGCAAAGCTTTGGAAGGGTCACAATATCAGTTTTCTAAGTTGCAAAGCATCCAATCCAGCTGCACATCCGGACAGAATTGCAAAATAAAAGAATATGACCATGAGTTGTAGGTGGCTGTGCCTTGCCAGATCACAAGAGAAGAAAAAGGAAACAAGACTGTTAAGATGAAGTTAGATTCAGGACTAAAGAGTCACAACTGGGCCAAATGACTAGATCAAATGACAAAGTGAAAAGTGAATCCTGTAGTCTGCACCACAAACATCTTGTAACCTCTCTCTCCTGAAGTCGGTCTGGATCTTTAGTATCTTCAGAGTCAGCGCACAAATAATGCAACAGCTCGCCCTTCTACTTTCTCTCTTTGGCACAGTTACCTCCATATAAGCCTAGCCTTATTCCCACTGGTTGGTCTCTAAGAATCTCTGAAATAAGGTGAACACCTGTTATAGTGCCTCTGCTAAAGAAAAGTCTTCCAGCATTTCCTTGTTGAATACGTCAGTGTGCAGGCTGAGTGGGGTGACAGTGAGATGAAGAATTATGAAGTAGCAGAGAATCGATTGGTTCCCTTAAGTGATCATTTCCAAGCTTTTAAAGATTTGGGTAGTTTTAATTGTGTACAGGGCTTTTTGCAAAGAAAGCATAATACCGACAAGCAGGTGTTTGATTGAAAAACACTTTCAACACTTACTTGGTTGAAACAAAGGGTTTTTTTGTTCAAATATATTCTAATATTCATACAGACGCCAAAATTAAAACAGTAAGTCTGGACTTTGCAGAATTTTGTGGAAACCATCATCAGCTTTATTAAGAGAGATAGATTGATGGCCAATGCTTAGCTCAGCTTAGCAAGATAAACCATACAGCTATTCTGCTTGAAGCTCTCTATAAAGTCTCATGAATATGAGCACTGTACAGTGGGATGTAGAACGCATGTTAGAACAATAATTCTCAGCAAGACACGT